AGTTCCCAAAGGATTGGCAGTATTTCTCTGGCAAAAGTGTTGAAAGAATTTAGTGGTAAGGCCATATAGGAGCACAGTTTTCTTTGTGAGAGAATCTTGACATAAACCTTCTGCCCTCACATACACCACTCAATTTAGCCCAACTCACTCCATAAATTTTAACTGCAATCTTGTCCTACTCTGAAGTACACAAGTAAACAATCAAACAAAACTCTGCCTATAATGCTTCTTTCATATTTCCATGAGAATACATCTAATTATCTGAAATTTTGGTGTTTATCTTAAAATTCTGTGAATGTTTTTGGTTGCTTTTTCTTTCCAAGTGGCTATATTTGTTTTCTCACGAAAATAAAATTGCAAAGAAATATCATTAAGTATCATGGCGCCTTCAGAGAGTTATGTAAGTTTTATATCTAGTGCCTTTGTGTCTTCTTTCTCATCACAGATCAATGTCTCCCCTTAGGAGACTCACTGCTCATCCAACAAGGCCCCTGTGTTTCTGTACTGATGTTCCATGAATAAGACGACAGCAGAACAGAGATGTGATCAGTAATGAGAGCTTCATGCTGACAAGGCTGACAAGCATGTCCAAGATCCAGGGATGTCAAGAAAGGGCGCTATGCACTTCTGAAGTGCCTCTATCACTAGAGAAAACTTTAATTCTTGAAAGTCAATGTAATATTCACAGTATCATTGTGGGGGAAGAAAAAGAAAGAATGCCAGTGCTATAGAACATTCATTTTATCAAAAGAAAAACCTTGGGAGATTGATCTTTATCCATCAACAAAGTGAATATATTAAACTATGTTTGATTTGTGATCATTTATTTATATTTAAGGCATTCTTGGTTTCCAACTTCTGCTCCTTTGATGCAAGTGACTTTGGCAGTTAACAAGTGAACTGTAAATTTTCTTGGATTGGGAGAAAGAGCTAGTTAATACTATAGGTCAAGGCAGGTCAGGGTGAAAAGCAGGCAGCTCTGCTGAGATCAAAAATTAAAACCTTCCTATTCCATCCCATCCAAGTCTACCCAGGCATTCAATTCCATATAAAACTTCTGCTTTCAATGTGCTCTAATCAGAAATATATCGGGCAATCTTTCCTTACAAAAATATAGTTTTCTGGGAGGAGAGGCTTGATAAATTATTGTAAATTATCCATTAATTCCATCAAGTTCTATAGAGCCTTCTTTCTGCCAGAAATGATTCTCTTTCTTTCAAGCAAATATCTTTTCCTCAGAGTGTGACACTCATTTTGTTCAGTCAGAGTCAGCAAACCTTACAAACTCACCTAGGACTGGCTTCTTAAACCTATAATCCTAGTTATTCTGAAGATTGAGGTCCAAAGGATTGAGGCTCAAAGCCAGCTACAGAAATATCTGGGAGACTCCACCTCCAATTAACCATAAAAATGTCAGACTGAGCTGGACCCTGGTGGCTCACATCTATAATCCTAGCTACTCAGGAGGCTGAGATCTGAGGATCACAGTTCGAAGCCAGGCAGGAAAGTCCATGAGACTCTTAGCTATAATTAACCACCAGAAAAATGGAAGTGGATCTGTGGCTCAAAGTGGTTGAGTGCTGGCTTTGAGCAGAAATGCTTAGGGACAATGTCCAGACCCTAAGTTCATGCCCCTTGACTGACCAAAAAAATGCCAGACTGAAGCCATAGCTCAAATGGTAGAGTATCAACCATGAATAAGACCAAGCAAGAGTGTGAGGCCTTAATTTGGAGTTCTGGTACCAGCTAAAAAGCAAACAAAAAACCCAACACTTTACCACTAGATAGCTCAAAGTAAAATTCTCTCAGGTGATAAAACAAAATTTCATACTAGGTATATAGTTACATATATTTTAATATATTTTAGTTGTAACCCTGACAATAAGTTCTTGATATTTTGATATAACCAGCTCAAAACCTTCCAGAATATAAATCTAAATTTTAAAAATAGTCACCATTTGAAAAATCATTACCATGTTATCACAAAAAAAATCATGCTTTCCTTAACTTGAGTTACTGGTAATTACAGGGGTGAACAATTAGAGATTATATGTCAAATGTCAAAAAGGTTGAATGCAAAGCCAGGCACCATTGGCTTACACCTGTAATCCTAGCTACTCAGGAGGCTGAGATCTGAGGATCACAGTTCAAAGCCAGCCCAAGCAGGAAAGTCTGTGTGAATCTTATCTCCAATAAACCACCAGAAAACTGGAAGTGGCACTGTAGCTCAAGTGGTAGGTGCTAGCCTTGAGCTGAAGAGCTGAGGGACAGTACCCAGGCCCAGAGTTAAAGTCTATGACCAAAAAAATAAAAAGGTTGAATGCAAATAGAAAAGGTACATGACCTTGCACCGTAGCTGTTGATATTGATCCTAAGGGCAAAAAAAAATTGTCAGGAAATCTTGATCTCTACTCAGTAAGTTTCTCATCAGCATGAGACCAATAGAAGTTATTCTGGGCATACCATGGAAAAGAACGAAAGGGTAAATATGCTGAGGAGCTGAATTTGTATGTGCAGAACTGGACTATAAGAAGGACAGAGATTGAAAAACATAAAGCAAATATAAATAACAGCAAAATAACAACAACAGAAACATATTATTAGAAGGTATGTAAAACATGTCCTGCCACAACTCAGTTTTTCAGTTGATCTGAACTTTGTCTAGTGGAAATGACATATAAGAAAAACTGAGGAGCCAGGTGCCAGAGGCTTGTGCCTTTGATAGCTATTTGGGAGGCTGAGATCTGAGTATCTCAGGTCAAAGTTAGCTTGGACAGGCGAATGTGAAAAATTCTTATGTCCATTTAACCAATCAAGAGCCAAAAGTAGAGGTGTGGCTCACGTGGTAGAGCACCAGTCATGAGCATAAAAGCCAAGTGAATGTGCAAGTCGTAGTTCAAGTCCCAGTACCAGCACACACACACACACACACACACACACACACACACACACACACACACACACTCACAAGGAAGACTGAGAGATTGCAATCCTGACTTCTCACCCACTAGAGTTATTCAAAGTAGGATTCTAGGGATAGCTAAGACCAGCGCATCCCTCCTAATCACAGACTATCATAAGTATTTAGGAGTTCAAATACTTCAAATGCCACTATTCAAGTGACTCACTAAATATCACGACCCAGTGAGAGTTTGGTCTCCACTCCTGCTTCTCCAGGTAGGGAGCTGTAGCCTGAAGGTGGCCTTCCTTAGCTCCTGACAGTCCAGGGTCACCGTCACTCCTCGCCAGCCTGGTGTGATGCCAGCCCCCACCACCAGTGAGGCTCTTCCGGCCTCCCTACACACTTCTTCCCCCAAATCATCCATTTTTCCTAATTTAACTATATTGACTCCCTTCTAAATCATGGGAGTGTTTTTGCATTCTATTGTATATTTTTTTTCTTGTTTGTGACAGTACTAGGGCTTGAACTCAGGGCCTCGGCCCTGTCACTTAGCATTTTTGCTCAAGGTTAATACTTAGCTTTTTGCTGATTAATTGGAGATGAGGGTCTCGTGGACTTCCCTGCACAAGCTGGCTTCCAGCCACTGTCCTCAGATCTCAGCACTGGTGAGTCACCATGGCCAACGGTAGCATTATATTTTAAAAAGAACATACTCCATGTTCAAAGGCTTCCCAGTGCCACACAACGTATTTACACATCATGAACAGCCATGCACAGAGAACCCCCTGCAAAGCCTAACTCCTAGTCATTTTCCTTAGACATTGTCTACTTCCACATTTATGGACTCAACATACCATGTCTCCAATGATTACATTCCTAGCACAGTGTTCTTGTTCTTTCAGGACTAACTGTATTGAACAGAAACAGCCTTCCTCCTTTCATTTATATATTTCAAAAGAGTTACAAATGACCTGTAATAAAACTCAGATTTATAATGGTTCCTGGTATCTCATAGTACACAGATTTTTCCTGACATGAATGCCACACTCAAGACTTCCTTAGTCCATAGTGTTCCAAGTGAGGGCATCACTATCACCCAGATGGAAACATCTACCCAAATTCTCATTACCATCTTATTACCACACAACTATTCAAAGCCTTGGTCTAACAGCTCAGCGTTAACAGGTGGTAGCATCATGAGTTAGCTCTATAACGTGCAACTAGAAACACATGTCATGCAATAGATTGACATCTACCTTGTGAGGAAAGATACTCAGATAGGTGAAGACTGGGATCTTGTCTCCTGACTCTTCTTTCTTCCAAGACCCTCTCAACCTCTTTGCCAGATTACTCTCAGGAGGCTAATCATCAGGCCCACGTCACCTAAGAAACACTTTTATTCAATACCTGCTAGAAAGTGATGTCCAGCAAGGCACCTCAGTAGGGAAGGCTCTTCATTTTCTAGATGAGGAGACACTCACTCTTTGGATAAATAAGGATTGAGGACTCCTGCCATTTCATTTCCTAAAGCCTGCTCAGCTCTTGATACACCATTAACACTCAGTTGGGAATAACAGGGGACTCTCTCCCTGCCTAATTCGCTTATGAAAAATATTCAATTATGTTCCAAGTTTCATTCACTTACTAATGAAAAGTAAATGAGGTCAACCACTGTGTTTGATTTGTCTTGGAAAGACAGAAACAGAATTTGTAAGAACAAACAGCGTTAAATTAAAATAAGCAACTCTTCTCCATGGTGGAAATTGAATTTCTCTCCAAAGAACTCCTTAATATATATAAAAACGTAGCGATAACATCAATGAGATAGAAAATGCTAAGGTACACAGCTACTCCAAACTGTGCAGGAAGACTTAAAGATGGTGTGTGTGTGTGAGAGAGACAGAGACAGAGACAGAGACAGAGAGAAAGAGAGAGAGAGACTGTGTGTGTGTGAGAGATAGAGAGTACAAAGGAGGAAGAGAGAGCACACAACTTAGAGCTATTCAAACTCACAGATCTGCAAAAGTTCCATCCGTTATTCCAGGACCCGTGGGCTGGGGGCTGGAAGCCGCCCTGGCCCAGTGGCCAGTCCACCTACCATTTTTGCAGATGGGACAACACTGGTCAGGCTCATATACAGGGTCCACACACTCGGTCTGGGGACAGGCCGACACTGTGCACAGCACTTCTCCATTCGCTTCACAGCGGCACCGCTCACATGGAGATACCTGAAACACAGGGCCACAATCAGAGTTAAACCTCTCACATGCCTACAGCTAAGCTCTTCTTGTTCAGGACAATCCAGGTGTGTTTTAACAATAAAAAAGGGATGGTAGGGGAAAAGCAAAGGAGGAGGCAACCATGCTTAATAAGAGATGTACTCATTACCTTGCTCGCATAATTACAACCCCTCTGTATAGTATTTTCACAACAAAAAACTTATTAAAAATATAAAAGGAAGTGGGTGTGGCCATTGGTTTTCTCAGCATCTGGAATGTTTAGTAGACAGCCTTGGGTGTGTAGACCTTCAGTGGGAGACAGAGGGCTCTGCTGTCTTTCTCAGTTCCAGCCAGGGAAGTTCTGGTATTCTTTTTCTTTTTTCTTTTCTCTTTCTTTGGTGGTCGTGGGGTGTAGGGAGCTGCTGAGAGGCCGCACCTGGAAGATGGCGCTGGCTTCCGCCCTTCGCCTTCCCGATGGCGAGTGCTCTCTGTGGTAAACAACTCCTTATATGGCTAAGGCAAAGAATCTGGCTTGCTTCCGGGCACCTGAACCTATTGGTGGTTCCCACGTGGCGTATCAGGGTTGGCTACCCAGCGGGTACTTAAGGCTGTGGGGAATTCTCCCCGGGGTTGGGGGTCAGAAGATTGCTCAAAGGTCCTGAATAAACTGCAGAGAGAAGAGTTCGGTGTCACGTCTTCCTTGCTGGTCGAGGCGGTAGCGACACCATCTTCCAGGTGCGGCCTCTCAGCAGCTCCCTACAGTGGGGCTTGAACTCTGGGCCTGGGCGCTGTCCCTCAGCTTGGAAGTTCAAAGCTAGCACTCTACCACTTGAGCCACATTGCCACTTCTGGCTTTTTCTGTTTATGTGGTACTGAGGAATCGAACCCAGGGCCTCATGCATGCAAGGCAAGCACTCTACCACTATGTCACCTTCCCACCTTCGCAGCTCTGGTTTTCAATGATCTATTAATCAGCTTTCTTCTTAAGCTTCATTTTGAAGGATTTTTTTTGCTTTAAAATTAAAGAATAAATTACTACTGATTTCTTACCCCAGCCACTCTAATTCCTTTCCAGTAGCCCAGCCAGGTTGCCACCTAATCTACCATGGAGATTTCCCAGGGTTTTTAGATAAGATGCTATAACAGAGAAGCAGAGAGAAGGGGAAAGGGGAAATAGAGACTCCTCTGAGCCTGGCTCTCTGCCACAAGGTGAAGATTCGGTCTCTGAACTCCCATAACACTCTAAGCTGTCCTTATCAAAGCTGTTTAGGGAGGAGGAAACTGAGAGACAGCCAGGACTTGTCTGATATTCCCAAAGGCATCAAATCTGAGGTGGCAAGCTTTCCTCTGATGTTCCATAAGGAAATGAGATGTGTTGCTCCAGAGGGCTCCTGACTGTGTTTCTGTGACTTTTCTACTTTCCTCCAAGGCTTGGCCTGGCCATTGATTCCATGTTCCTGTAGGTTTGGGGCTCCAGTTAGTCTCTGGACTTCTCAGCCATTGGCCAAACTCCACTTCTGAAACCATTAAGAGTCCACCACCACCACCACCACCATTCTTGGAAAGGCTGCACAGCTGCATCGGTCACATCCTTCCCAGCCCCTTATGCAGGGTGTGGCTTGGGGAATGTTCCTAGAAACCTCCCAGGAGGTGATTTCTGATCTGTGCAAGGCACAAACAGCAGATGCATCCCCAACCCACAGAGCCAGAAATTGCAAAGTAGAAATCTGCCAGTTAACAGGTAGCAGAAATGGCAGGGGAGGTGTTGTCAAGCTGTTTTCTGCTTTCTTAGGAACAGGGAGACCACAGCTAGTTTGTGCCCAGCAACGTGATGTGAATGTCACTAGCCAGGTAAAAAGTACTAGCAGAACTCACAGATGCCTCCTCTGTCTTTGCAATGAGGAAAAGAAGGACTGAGCACTGTAAGAATAAACTCCCTTAGACAGTAAATAAATGTTTCGAGGCCATAGTCAAGCTGTCTGGGCACTAGGCTTTAGATAAATGTGTCTACCTGTGTATGTGATGTGTACTTTGAAGAAAGAAAAGAGGAAAAGAAAAAAAAGAGAAGGAGAAAGGGGAAGGAGAAAGAATAGAGAAAAGGGAAGGAGGAAAGAAAAGAATAATGGGTAAGGACTTGGGGAGGTGGCGGGTTGTCTGTCCATCCTTGGCAGAAGGAAGAGGACAGATGAGAAGAGTGAAGAGAAGAAGGGAGGAAGGAGAAACAGTAAGGGGATAACAGAGGAATGGAGGGAAATGGGAAGGGGAAGGAGAAGGAAGGGAGAATGGAGTGCAAAGGCAGGGAAAGGGAAAAGGAGAAAGTTAAGGGGAAAAGAAAAGGAAGGGAATGGAGAAGAAGGGAGTGGGGGGAGCAGCCAAGTGGGAGGGAAAAGAGGAAGGGAAAAGGAAAAGGGAAGAGAAAAGAAAAGGAAGGGACAAGGGGAAGGGAAGAGAGAATGGAAGGGAAAATGGAAGGAGGAAAGGAAAAGGATAAAGGGAAAAGACTTAGGAGAAGCCTCTCTGTGTGTATATACTTGGCAGGAGGAGAGGAGAGGCAAGAAGAAAAAAAGGAAGAGAAAGGGGGAGAAGAAATAGGGGAAGAGAGAAATGGAGAGGAAGAAGGGGAAAGGAAAGAGCAGAAAAAGAGAAAACTTTGGAAAAGTTTCAGAGTCACTCAGAACAGAATACTGACCTGGCTAGCAATGCAGCTTTCAAAGGGAAAGCCAATCTTCCAGCAATATAAAGACATGATTTGGATTGTTTTTCTTGTTTGTTTTGAGTTAGAATCTCTCTATGTAACCCTAGGCAGCTGGAACTCGAATATTCCTCTTTCCTCAGCCTCCAGCGTGCTGGGATTACAGGCATGGGTCAATACTCCCTTATCTAGAAAACATTAATTTTAAGTATTCTTGGCACAATAAGGCTTTGAGCATTTTCTTTGTTACCCTCGTGTTGCTCTTACACTGTTGTTTCATTTTTATTTCCCTCTATATCCCACACTTTTTCCTGTTCACACTGTAGCCCCTCTGTCTTAAAAGCAGATATGCACAGGACACAGCATGGGAAAAGCCTTGAGTGGCAAGAGTCACAGTCTAGTGCATGTCCTAAGCCTTCAAGTGGAAGAACTTCAGGCATAAGCCACAAAGCCCAGATGGTGAGGATTAAAGATACAAAGCCAGGCCATTGAGCTGCCCCAAGGGAAGGGGACAAAAGGGCAAGAAAAGAGAAGGAAGAGGAGCGGAGGAGAAAGAAGCCCTCCAGGATGGGCAGTGGAGCCAGCAAAAGGCATGAAGGTCAGATAGCTGTCTAGTGGGGTCTGTCCTCGACGAGGAAACCCAGGTCCCACTCTCCCCTGGGCTGTCCTCCACGGGGGACGAAGCACCAAGCATAACAAGTTGGAAATTGGAAAGGAAGCAGAATGGGCCGGATATCATATCTCCAGGGAAGGCTTCAGGAGGAAGAGCAATGTGTACAATGACAAGTCAAAAGGCTTCAGGTACCTGGGCGGGAAGCCTGAGGCAGCTCAGCAGTAGAGCCCAAGATGGGCTCAGCCAGGCAAATGGGGCGGAGGTTGCTGGCCTGGAAAGGACTTCCCTTACTATTCTCTCTTCCTCCAGCAGAAACCTCAAGGCCCCAGGCCACAAAGCGTATTTCCATGCCAGCTTGTGAGTAGTGTGTATTTTAAAGTCATTAAGTATTGAGAAACGTTGATTCGACTATTTCCAGAGTCCTCCACAATCATTAGTTGATATCTACCATTGAGCTCACCTCGAGCCTGCCGCCCTCCTCTCCTGTCCCTGGGGTCTGCATTCATCAGCTCCTGCATTCATCTTCTCTTTACTCCCATGCCAGGCTCAGCCCCTCCACGCTTCTCCACAGTAAGGCTCATAAGAACAAGTGACAAAGCTTGCCACCCCTCAGATGCCAGCTCTGTTAGTCTCATCTGGGCAAAAGCCCTCGTGATGACCACAGGCGGTTGATTTCTACAAGTCTTCTCATCTAATAATGGCATTCTCAACATCCCTGCTAGTACTCAGCCACCTAACAGAATCTGCCTTTCCATGGTTCTGTCTCTTGCCCCCACAGTATAGCCCAGGGTCTGGACACCCCAACCCTAACCCATGGCTTCCAGTAAAGCCTCATCCCTGTGATCAGAACTTCTACTAGCCACTTGGCCCCTCCTGGGTCAGACCCTGGTCACTTACTGAGTCCTATACAACTAACCAGGCCTGCTCTGTCCTAGCAGACCAAAATAACACTAAGTCCTATCTCTAAAGCTCACTAGCACAGTTCCACAGGGCATAACCCAACTTGACTTTTCCCTTGCCCCCTCAAGCTGACCTAAGTCCTTGGTGAAGTTCACATCTGATAAATTTCTACTGGATATAGAGCTAGCTAAAACACAGGCTCATCTGGGCAGCTTCCTTTGTCATTACTATGGACAGAGGGATGTCCCTCCACAAAACCATCACCTAAGCTGGTACCTAGGCCTCACATGGCCCTTATATTGCATAGACAATGTAGCTAAGTTAAAATATAATCAAGCAAACACGAAACGTCAGGTGTCTATGTACTCAGCAAACCCTGAAGGAAGAAGCATCCAGGCTCAGCTTTACCCTGCCACATGCAAAAAAAGTAATAACTAGCTGGGTGCCAGTGGCTCATACCTGTAATCCTAGCTACTCAGGAGGCTGGGATCTGAGGATAGTGGGTTCAACGCCAGCCCCAGACAGGAAAGTCGAAGAGGTTCTTATCTCCAAATAAGTACCAAAAAGCCAGAAGTGGAGCTATGGCTCAAGTGGTAGAGTGCTAGTCTTGAGAGAGGAAAAAAAAGCTGAGGGACAGCTCCCAAGCCCTGAGTTTAAGCCCCAGGACAGGAACAACAAAAAAAAGTTACCACTGACCCTGAAGCCATGAGTCCTCCTGGGAACCTGGTAGTTACTCAAAAGGATGCAGGTCAGCCTCTCTCACAGTCCTGAGTCCAATACAGCCTTGGTACCCACCATCCCAAC